CCTAGTAGTAAGGCCAAGAGCCCCTAGTAGCGTCCTTGCTCCTAGTATGTGCAGGATGGTTCTGCAGCCGAACAAGCAGTTGGTACTTTCTGGGATGGTCTTTCAGCGGTCGACCGGGTGCCCTTCAAATCCTCTGCTGAATGGCATGCATGTTGGTCCTCGACGCTTCAGGTACAGTTTCAATCCGAGTTTCCTCAATTCATGCAACGTGGCATGAAATATCTTGAAATCAAAAGTTCCAGCGCAGAGCATGCCATGGCATGTAAGGCATTTGGTTGGCCTGCCAGCCACATCCAAAGCAGGAATGCAACTTCGTGGGATCCTTCCCGTGCAGCCTGCCCGGACACAGTCGTTCGACGCCCGTTCGTTTCTCGTCTCGAGCGAGAAACAATGTAAGGGAGGCTTCTACCATCTTTTTCTCCTTTTTCTCTATGTTTTTGTCGTGTCTTACTTGTCCACCACTTTTACAGTATGCAAGTTTGCTTGAGAAGATTCAGTCACAGAGTCTAAGATCTTGAGATCAGTGAGGCCACCGCCTCCAAAAGCGGCTTTTCCACCTGGCGTGCAAGGCGCAACGTCCAAGCTTGCAAACCTGGCTCTTGATTTTGAGAGAAGAGTGGTGGAGATAAGATAAAGAGGTTTTGTTTTCCTTTAGACTGTATCTCTTTCCTAGACTTGTGTGAAGCTTGCACCTGCAGTCCCCATAGCCTCGACGATGGGTGTGTCTACCACTTACTGATGGAAGTGCAAGTCGACCGATCGCGGAGATGATGAGTGTCGCCAAACTGCTTAGGACTGTCCTGCCCGCCAATGTCCCATCTGCGCGGGAACAGAGTATGTGCCAAGTGACAGTGCCAAGCAGTGCCAAAATGTGAGGTTGAGCCTTTGTACTGCCCGTTGTTTTTGCAATTTCCAAGGCAGTCCCGTGGCCGAAAGCCAACTGCATAGATTCCTTTCTCAGTTGATGTCATTTCGATTCAGTGGCTATTCCAAAGATTGTGGCTTCGCACTGCAAGGTTTCACCTGTACTAACTCCAGAGGTTGTCAAACAGCAAGAGGCACTGAGCCTTAGACTGGACCCTCCCAGAGTTCTTTTTCTTTGTGCAAGTTTGTTATTCTCGCTTTTAGGGGCAGCAAGCTAGAAGGGAAGGGTGAAGAGAGAGTAAGAAGAGAAGGGAAGGGAAGAAACACAAGCTCTAAGTATCAGCTAAGGAGGTCGTTCAAGAAACCGTTTATAAGTACAGCATACTATAGAAAACATAGATTACGTTAGTATATAAGTGGCATAAATGTAATTATGAAAATGTACGTTCTTAAGTACATTGTGAAGTGCCTTTTTTTTTCTTGTCTCTTAGTTGGGTCAGACAGGTGAGATCTTCCTATGTTCAACCTGATGAAACAGTTGCCGAGGGAGATTTGGAGGGGGTCAGTCTGCAGGTTGCCTGGGCAGAGCGCTTGACCTTCCATGATGGCATTCTGAGGGCAGACATGAGCGGATTCCTGAGAGAAGAAAGATGATCTTGTTTAAAGGGTATCTTTTTGCATGTCCTTAATTGTTTTCTTAAAGACCTTGAAGGTTGGAGGCCATTGCTATTAGGTTGGAAGCCATCGCTTGTAGGGGCAGCGCAATCTTAAATTCTGTTCGTAAAGACCTTTGCAGCTTCATTGAATCTTACTTCATGAACTGTCGCAGACATACGGAACACAAGGTTCGTTGCAGCTTGGTGACGCGGGCTTGGTATGTGGCTTAGAGGTGAAAGAGCATCTGAACCCATAGGCCCATAGGTATGCCAAGCATGTGAACAACTTGCAAAACAAACGCAAGAATGAGAAAAGGACACGTAAGGTCCTTTTAAGCGGCCTTACCTCCCTTTTTTTCATTTTCTTCCTTTCCTTCTTCTTTGTTTCTATTCGTGATGGCCTCCAACATAGAAAGAAGGAGGCCTTACCAGCCTTTTTCCTATCTATACTCTTCTTTCAAGCAATACGCCGAACAATGAGTACTGCACAGGCCAGATGGTGCGCATGGGCGCCGAGCTTGCTAAAGACACTTGGCAGCTGCGGACTGAGTCCTCCGGCGGAGACCCTGCGCGCTCTTTCAACTTTCAAAGTTCATGGCCTCCAACCTAATTGTACAAGGAACCTAAGTGCAATGGCCTCCAACCTGCTAGCGACGGCCTCCAACCCAAGAGCACGCTCTTTGTTTGTACAAGATTGTTTGACGTTCAAAGTTCATTTAAGGTGCTGGTGGGGCACCTTTGTCCAACGCGGACCTGAATTTCTCTGGTAATGGAATTGAGGCCACGCAGAGTCCCTTACAAGTATATTGTACCCGGGCAAGATGGGGGCGGAAGTTTCAATAAGATGAACAAACGTCCCGCGCATCACTGGTGGCCACAGGACAGCAAGTTCTCATTTCCTATGCCTATGCAACAAGCTGCACACAAACACATGGCCACTAGTAACAAAGGGCATCGCTACTAGGAGCAAGGACACTACTAGGGGCTCCTGGCCGTACTACTAGGAACAAGAAGCTACTAGTGCTCCCGTCCCCCAATGTCCCAATGGCACGAAGCCACACGCTCGCACTTTCCACCGAGGCCACGCCGCACCGCGCACAGCGACATGCCAAGGTAATTTCACCGCACCGTCCGCCACGCGTAGCGTCCTCTTGTTAGTAGTAAGGATGCTCCCAGTAGCGATGCCAGGAGCCCCTAGTAGCTTCTTGTTACTAGGACTACAAAATTGCCAGTCAGTTCTGAGCCCGGAGCTCCTGGAACCTGTTCCTGTTCGTATTCGAAAGGGCTCCCAGAAGCGACTCTCGAAGCTACAAAATTGCCAGTTCTGAGCATTTCGCGCGAGGCCCCCTTGGCACTGGAATGCTTCAACATGAGGATTTGGCTCAAAACTTCTTCTCGCATGAACATGCCAAAGCTTTTTAAATGTACCTTTCTCGCGAGACATCCCCAACTTTTGACATGCTAACGCTTCAAATCTTTTGAACATCTGGAAGCATCAAAATGAGCATGTTGTATGAGAACTCCCACTTTGCAAATGTGAACATGAGCATGGCGTGGGAGACTTTCTCAAACTTTGACACCTGCAAGCTTCCAAAAACACATTTGTGCGAGACTTCCTCGGAAAAAGCTCGAAAACGCCGCTACTAAGGGCTCCTGGCATCGCTACTAGGAGCAAGGACACTACTAGGGGCTCCTGGCCGTACTACTAGAAACAAGAAGCTACTAGTAACAGGTGCCACGCTAGTAGTAACAGGTGCCTTACTAGTAGTAACAAAGAAGCTATTAGTAACAAGTGCATCGCTAGTAGTAACAAGTGCCTTACTAGTAGTAACAAGAAGCTACTAGGGGCTCACCGGGAACACCCAAAGCGTCCACAGTGCGCGGCGGATCCGAGAACATTCGAACACAGCGAAGCCATCGAAGCCTTTCAACCGCCGTTCCGCAAGTGACTGCGTGACGTTCATTTAGGCCTCCAACCTAATAGCAATGGCCTCCAACACCAGTACTCTGCATTTGCGACTTACACTGCTGTTGCTGAGCAGCTGTGACTACCGCTACTGTTACTGTGGAACTGTGAGTTGCCTAATTGCTGCCGCTGTGCAACCGTGACTTATGCTACTGTTCCCGTGCAACAGGGACTAACGCTTTTACTGTCTGAAGGTTTGTGGTACGGAAGTTTCTCTTTCATTTAACTTTGGAGTGGGGAATGTGACCGAGCATCACATGTGACAATTACTTTGCATTTTGTGCGGGGAGCCTTGTGGATCATGACTGGGTGACGGGGAGGGGCGCAGCGTTCGAGTACCTCCTGCCATGGCGGCAGAAGGAGTATTCGAGGTAGAGGATCTCCTAGACTACAGGTGCGGAGCTTGCTCAACATTTACTGCACAATGAGTTTTTATATGATGTTTCTGTTGTATGCTTTTTTGGGGAGTGTGTGTGTCTGTATGTGAGTGTGTGTGTTTTGGTAAAGTCTCGAAGACTGTCAAGGGCCCGTTTGGTGTTGAATCTGGCAGGCAATCAGACGGGAAAGATCTGTTCTTGGTGAGATGGAAAGGCTATTCAGAGCCCTCCTGGGAACCAGATGAGAACATTGGCTCTGAACTTGCTGAATTGAAGCGGGCGGCCCGAGAGAGAGTCGCACAGCCGGAAGGTCGCAAAAGAAAGAAAAAGGAAGGGAAGGATGGAGATGAGAAGAAGAAGGAAAAGAAGAAGGAGAAGAAGAAGCGCAAACGTGGGTCCAGCGATGAGAAAAAAAGAAGAGACACTTCCGATTCAAATGATGAGCATGGCATGCCCGGGATGCCACCGATGATGCCACCAGGCATGATGCCACCCGGAGGAATGATGCCGCCTGGAATGCCCTTCCCACCTGGTATGCCAATGGATGGGAAAGGCAAAGGGATGCCACCCTTGCCTTTGGGAATGGGGAAAGGAATGCCGCCACATGGAATGCCTTTCGGAAAGGGAATGCCTCCACCAATGCCATTCCATGGCCCTCCTGGCCCTTGTGGCCCACATGGTCATCCTCCACCTTGGTTTGATCCTGGGAAGGGTTTCCCAGGAAAAGGGGGGCCAATGAAAGGATTTGGAAAAGGCATGTTTCCAAGGCCAAAGGACGCGGCAGAAATGCAGCGATTTGCTTCTGATCGAAAGCATCGATTTCAGCAGTTCGTTGGAAGCTTGCATGACTTCGTGGCCAAAGACATGGAGAAATTATCGAGTGAGAAGCCGGAAAAGCTAGCCAAGGCCAAGGAACTCTTTGAGGCAGGAAAACCTTTGTCACCCATATAGACGCAGAGAAGAAACAGATAGAGTCAGACCATTTTGTTCAATTGCGAAAAAGGTAGCAGCGGCACCCGAAGTCCGCAAACACGAAAACAAGAGGGCGCACTGAAGCGCCGCGGCCGCGCCTTTTGCAAGGCAACTGCCCTCCCAGTCTTGAGAGGGAACGACGGTAAGTGAAGGTCGAAAACAGTTCGAACTGCCGAAACACAAGTGCACAGCGTGAACTTTACATGGGGGAGAGTCCTTCGTCATCACCCCAGTTCCGCTGTTCGAACCGGTCCAGCCATTGGTAGACCAAGGTCCGCACAGATGAGCCTGACCGATCATCGACAAGGTCAGGTGGAATCACCCTCAAACTACAAAGGCGGCAGAAATCTACTCGCCGCTGCAGGCTTTCATCTCTTCCGGCCAGGCTTGAACAGTTCAAGGTCGTGTGCCATCTGGCGCCATGCCGGCTGATGATCATGCCATTGTAGAAGGGGCATTCATTTCCATGCTCATCCATCTGCCTCAGGGCGATCTTCAGGATCTGGGAGGCTTCCTGTGCAAGGGTCTCAGCAGCATTCTGGTTTCTCAGAACCAGATTCATCGCTGTCGTGGCTTCGACAGCAGCAAGGCGGGACTCCTCGGCTTTGGAACTCCAGCGCAGGACTTCCTGCTTCAGGCGTTTGACTTCTTCTCTAAGGCGAGCTGGGATGATCGCTTTATCCTTTTGGACTGCAGCCTCAGTGACCTGGGGTGGTACTCGGTGGTGTGCATCATGGCTCCATCGACCAACCATGAAGGCTGTGCTCAAAAAAAGTAGAAGGAGGGTGCACAAAACAGTTCCAAACCAATCCATTCCAGCTTCAGGTTCCACATTGGCCGAATCGGCCGTGACCAGCTGCGGGGCCATGAACAAAAGCAAAAACCAAAACATGAAATTCGTCTTACGACCGCGGTAGGACTCGAGCGGGCGGCTTCCGACATGGCTCGGACTGTCGGAGACATACTCAAGCTTCCGGTCGGTCCTGGCAAACATGACATTCACAGGAACCTTGGAATTCCGAAAAATCTCTTCATTCCAAAACACCTGCTCATCGACATTCACGTCATTCTCCGCAGGATTCTCGTCGATGGGCTGCTGGTGCTCCTCGTGGAGGTTGGGTTCCTCATTGATCACATGTGGTGGTACCACATGGATGCTTTCAGGTTCCTCATTGATCACATGTGGTGGTACCACATGGATGCTTTCAGGTTCCTCATTGATCACATGTGGTGGTACCACATGGATGCTTTCAGCAAGACTCTGTTGGAGCTCAGCTTTTGTCTTCTTCTTGGCAGCTTTGTATGAGGGGTCCCAAACAAGCTTCAAACGACCGTGACGTAGCCGTTGTGCAAGAAGTGCTCTGGCCGACTCTTTTGTCAAACCGTCAGCCAGTTGGCGCTCCGATGACATCCACCTCAAAGAACCGCCCAGTGAAGACAGGCGATCCTTCATCACACGGATCTCAAGCGAAACTCGCTTGTCAACCACAGAGCTTCCGACTCCTTCTCGGTGATAGGAGTCGTAAAGGGCTTTGGCGTCCGTGATCATGGTGGGCGACAACAAGGATGGAGCGTCCAAGAGCTCTTGGAGTCGCTGGCGAGGGTCAACCAACAAGCTCCAGTAGATGCTGGCATGCTCCAAGGCATCGCAAGCTTGACCACCGCTTTGTGCTTCGGCGCCCAAGGAAGAGCGTGCAACTCTTGGCGTTTTCAAACTGCGCCAATCCAACACGTGGTAGGCTCCTTCGGGACCATTGGCCTGAAGCAAAGCTTTGTTGACCATCAGGATCACATAGCCAGCTTGTGAGGCTCCGTCACTGCGGGTGGCAAAGGCAGCATCAAAAAAACATACCAAACAAAGTTCTGAAACTTCGCCCAGGTGGCTGTACTGTAGGCCAACATCAGCATTTTCTTTTGCAAAACGCAGCAGGCGATTTGTGTCGGCCACTGTCTGAAGCGTGGCCTTGGTGACATGACCGCTCAGGATCGAGGTGCTGCTCTGCAAGTGAGGACTGCTTTGAACTGCGGGCCATTGAAGTGAACCAAGAAGTCCTCTCAGCTGTGTCAACTCACGCTGATTGAGCGCATCGGTGAGGCTGCGCTTCTTGTCGTAGGTGATCGGTTTCACCTTTCCCATGTAGCTGGTCTGGTTGAGGAGGAGACCATCATCCTTGACCTGAATGTCACAACCACAATAGGTCAAGGGCTTTCCATCATCACCAGTTTTCCATTCACGGAAGTTGAAGGTGCTCTTCAGCTTGGTGATGGTGTCGTTGTAGCACTGGGAGGATGGCGAACCGCAACCAAGCATGTCATCGACGTGCATGATGACCATACCACATAGGCCATGAGGTCCAAGCAGGTTGGAGTGCTCAGCTGTGGTGTCATACTCAGGGTTGAGGTCACCTTCATAGATCAAGAAGCAGCAAGGGTCTTGAGGATGCTGTCGGAGGCCCATAGCGCTCAGCTTATCAACTGCAGCCACGAACCAAGATCTCGGGGCATCGATCTGGCCGTAGCAGGGCTTGAGAAGCAACATACGGGTGTCAGCTGTAGCTCCAAGCAACTGCAAACACTCTTGAGGAAGCTGCACCCACAACTTGCGTGTCTGAGGTCGACCCTGCAGGAAGGCGGTTGCTATGTCTGAAGTCCAGATTGGCCACTGCATGGTGGAGGCCAAACTCAACAACATGGATCTCGACAGCCTCGTGGTTGTGGGCGATGAGGTTGGAACAGTTCCTTCCCAAGCGTCTGGGTCCATGAAGCCTCTGACAATGAGCCTGGCTTTGGCACGGGGGCTGCCATCAGGATTCTTTGACCACTTCAGCAGCATGCGACTGGTCAGCGTCCGACTGGGCTCAGCTTCTCTGGTGGTCTCGAACTGCCAGACGTGGTTGTCAAAGAAGGATTGCAACTCTTTGACCTTTGCAGCTTTGAAGGCTGCTCGCTCATCAGGAGTCATGTGGCGCTCCGAGAGGTTGTTCTTGTTCTTGTCTTTCTTGAAGCTTTTGGCGTGCCGGAGTTTGGTCTCCTTGCCAAGCTGTCGTGCTCCTTGAAGTGGGGCCTTAGCGAACATGGCCATCTCTCGACGAAGGTCGCCTTTGATCTGGAAGATCGTGACTCCAGTCCATGAGCGATCCAAGGGAGTGGAAGCCGTGTAGCCATCGTCGGTCTGTTGGATGCTTTTGCCGTTGTTGTCATACATAATGGTCACCCGAACCAGATCAAGCTGATCTGAGGTGAAGGGGCTGTCTTTTGGCAATTGGTGCAGGCACATCTTGGATCGTGGTGTCTGATCAAACATCCGGCTTTGACTTCCCAGAAGTCGCGGTCTCTCTTGTTGAGCTGGAAGTAGCCATTCTCATAGGTCCAACCTTTTGGCAGGCAGTTGGCTTCAATGCCGGAGACTTGGAAGGCATGATTCAGCAAGGCGTGATCAGGTGCCTTCTGACTTGCATAGAGAGCAGGATCATCCGAAGCAGCTGGAGCTGCCGATACTTGGGCTGGCGCTTCTGCGGCTGCCGCTGTTGCTTGTGTGTTGTGCTCTGCACTGTTGTGTTCTGCTTCTGGTGTTGTTGTTTGTGACGTCGTGTTGTATGGCTGTGGTGACCCAATGCGCTGTCTTCGCAGGGGGCCAAAACTAAGTGTCTCCTGTCTGTTGAAGCGAACTCGTCGTTGTTGAAAGGTTTCAGCATCGACTGGTTCATACAATGCTGCAGTGTCAGGGTCCAGTGAAGGCCCTGACATTGATGCTTGAGGTGCTGTTGCAATAGCCGGTGGTGATGCAGCATGTGGTGTGGGTGCTGCAGATGGTATGGTTGGCTCTTCGCTGGGTTCGACCACAGTAGGAGCCCGTGAGCGGGACCTAGTGGTGGCTGGTGAACCTGGTACAGTGATCTCGGCTGGGGCCATGGGCAGCAACATGTTTGGTTCTGCCATCACTGGTGTTGGTGGTGCTCTGGGAGATGTCGGTGCAAAGCTGGAATGAGCAGGTGAGGTAGGCTCATATTCATCATCGGGCACGATGATCTGTGGTGGTGCTTCTGCAGTCGGCACGGGTGGCTCCAGGCGAAAGCGATGCCTGGGAGGCTCATCATCATCTTCTTCCAGCAGAGGACCATCAGGGTCAGTGTGTTGTTCATCTTCCTCGACATCATCCAGCTGTTGGCGGTTCACCCGTCTCAAGTCGTAGAATCTAGTGACTCCACGGGATTTCAGCTGTCTCACTTTGTTGAGGGCTGATTGCAGGTCTTCGAGCACGTGCTGAGGTCCGAGGATGTCTGCACGGACATGGTGAGGCGCAGCGCGAATCAACTGTGTTTTGTAGGCGAGCCAGTAGGTCTTGACCTTTGGAGCTGCAGTATCAGCTTCAGCATCTTCTTCACGAAGAACCACGTGGGCAGGACCAAGCCATCTGATCTTGTTCAGGGCTCCTTGGCGAGCATCACGCCAAAACCATACTCTTTCTCCCAACTGGAAAACTCGATTCTGGCCCTGGTACTTGCGACTGAGAGCTCGTCGCAGCTTGGAGTCAGCATCAGCAGATGCCAGTGCCATCTTTGCAGCAGTTCGCCGCTCAAGGTTCTCCTCAAATGAGCTGTTGTTGCCAGCAAGTTGAGCTGCATTGAGGTTGGAGTCCATGAGGTGGGACAGCTCAGGTTGGAAGCCAAGAACCCATTGACTGGGCGAGAAGCCAGCAACTGCAGGTGTGGCGTTCTGCTGTGGGATCACATAGCAAAGTGCTTCCTTGATGCCAGCAGCGTCATTGAGCTTGCGGTCATCCATGTATACCTCACAGGCACGGCGCAGCACTGCATGACGGCGCTCAACCAACGAAAGGCGCTCATGAGCTTCTCCTGGTGCTACTTGATGGTCAATGCCAAGTGAGCTTGTCCAAGATTCAAACGGTGCACCAAGCCAAGGTCGGCCTTCATCGGAGATCAGCTTCTTGGGAGGGCCAAAATGGCGAACCCACATCTTTTCCAGAGCGGTGATGTAGGACTTGGAGGTCTCCTCATGAAGCAGGTAGGCTGCCATGAACTTGGTGCCAACATCAACTATGCTCAGCACTGCAAACTTGCGGTCTGCTGGCTTGAGGTAGAAAACGTCAGCCTGAATCACTTCGTTGAAGGTCTTGGGCTGTGGCATGGATGATGGAGCAACCTGGTTGGGCTTCTTGTGCTTCAGACATGCCACACACTTGTACTCCTTGGCAGCGGCGATCACAGTGGGATGAGCTCCTCTGGCGGTCAACAGATCAGCCAGAGCATCAGGTGCCGGATGGCCAAGGTTTCGGTGTAGCCGTTGCACCGTTCGAAGAGCATCTTGTCGGTGTTCAGACTTGAGCTTGAGGAGGTGTCCGGTCTCTTTCTTGCCAGTTTCATCGACCACATAGGCGGTGTCCCACAGTTGAGCGGTCTCAGGACGAGCCAAGGCAGCAGCCAGTGTCGCTGCAAAGCCAGGTTAGTAGTCTTCCAAGTAGGTGGTCCGGCGGCCATAGCCAGGAGCAGAACCTTCCAAGGGGCAGTGGTAGTGGTCATGGTCACACTTCAGCTGGAAGGCCTCTAAAACAGCCTGCTTTGTGGTCAACAGGCGAGTGCTCTTTTGGACAGGTCGCCAGATGCCATCGGTGTCCATGCACATTGCTCCATAGCGGCATTGGTCGAAGTCGGCATAGTAACCAGGAAGATCTCGGAGAGCCATCGTGTTCCAGCTCAAGGCATGTCGGGGCTGCTCCAAGTGGGCATGCCGTGCATTGGTCACCTGTCGTAGGTAGATGCGCTTGGCAAAGCAGAGATGGCGACGATGGTGGTGCTCACGTCGAGCCTTCAAGGCTTCTTGCTGTGCAGGGGTGCGACAAGCCAAGGTTTGCATTCTTGACCACAGGCGGCATTCTGGTGCCACCAGCACTTCATCAGGTTCTTCTTCATCAAGTCGTTGGAGTAGCTGTTGTTGATGGCTGATGAGGTTGAAGTCCCAGCCATTGTCCAAAGAAAATCTTTCCACCTTCATGCCAAGCTCCTCTGCGATGTGGCCAGTGCGAGCTTTGCCACAATAGATTTCCCAGAGAACTCGTCGATGGTCGGGAGGATTGTGAAGCTCCTGAGTGATATAGGCTTCGGTGGAGTTTGAGGTAGTGACCAACTGAGTCTCCATGGTTCGAAGGGCATGTCGATGAAGGCGAGTGGATTGCAATTCGCCACCTGCTAGAGCCACATCTTCAGCCTGAAACACACGTTCGAGCTTGTTAAAGTCCTCGAGGTGGAGATGGCTGCCAGGTGTTTCCTCAGCAATGCGAAGGCTGAATAGGGTTTTCGTGGGATCAGGTACTTCCTCCATGCCAGTGGTGAGGCTCAACAAGTACTCGCCATGGCGGCCCACAAGCACTGAGGTCCAAGGCGATTGCCCAAAGCGAATGCGCTTCTGGCTGAAGTCGATGGCCATGTGCAGAGCCTCAATCACAGGTCGGCCCATCAACATTGGCGTGTTGCCAGGAACCAGGTAGCATTGGATCGTGCCGAACTGGCCATCGATCATCACCGGAAGATCCACTGTCCATGAAGCTCGTGAGGATGCATCGCCACCAAAATGGAACTGGCGGTCACATCGAGCAAAGCGGATGGTGTTGATGGGGTAGTTCATGGAGTGCAAGTGGCTCAAATAGCGGCCGAATGGACCATATCCGCACAGGAAGGCAGATGCACCTGGGTCAAGCATGGTGGCATCCGGTCGGTCGGTGCCCATCTCATCCTGGAACAGGACCAAGGCGGTCTCATTCTGCAAGGCCATACCCTCAGTGGGTGCAGGTCTCTTGTTGGACGATGAGGGTGATTTCGCACCTTGTGGACATAGCGCTGCCCAATGACCTGGTTGGCCACAACGAAGGCATGTAGTTGCCTTTGCACGACCTTTTGGATCAGCCTTTCCACCTGAGGAGGGTGGATAGCGCACCACATTCTTTCCTTTTCCTTTGCTTTTGCTCTTGCCCTTTCCTTTGTTCTTGCCGGCGCCCTTCGAAGGTGAAGAGGATCCAGAGGCGGGCGAAGCGTTCTGGCCATCAGTGAGGGCGACGATCGGCAGGTAGCCACGAGCCAACTTGAGCTGCTGGAATCTTTGCCGGGCATCCAAGTAGGTGGCATAGGCGTGGTCATACTCTTCGGCCAACTCTTGAGGATCTTCGGACAGGTCATGGTGTTCTCCAGGTTCATCCTCTTCGCCGTAGTAGATGGCGTCATAGTCAAAGTCAGCCTCATCGTCAGGGGCAGTGTCATCATACCAGTCGTCGGCCTCATAGTAGGCGTCTTCTGTCCAGGGTTGCTCGGACCAGTAGGCATCTTCTTCATCGAATGCGGCGTAGCCGCGGCCCTTCCAGCGGTTGAACTTTCGATCACGTTCAGCATTCCAGCCGCCTGCTTTGTAGTCCTGACCGAACAGCAGGTACAGGGCTTCGATGACAGGATTCTTTTCCAACGTAGGAGCCTTCAGCGTCACCATTTGGCGTTGCTCCTTTGACAAAGCAGCACGTCGGAGTAGATGCCATCCTTGAACCTGGACTGGAAGAGTCACATTGTGGGCAGTCAAACGACGATAGGCGGTGTCATGGTCGGTGACGAAGGACAGGAGGCTTTGCTGTGGCTTCCTTTGCAACAAGTTGAAGTACTCCTCAAAGTCATTCGGAAGGAGCACACGATCGTCATACTCGAAGTTCTTGTCGAGCTTGGTGATGATCTTGCTGAAGCCATCCTCTTTCTCAGCCTCTTCAACTGAGAAGTCCTCGAACAACCGCCACGTCACACCCTGAAAACTTCCCAGGATGTTCAGGACGGACTCGGCTGAACGCTTGCTGATCTTCATCTTGTGGTGGTAGAGCATCAGCCTCTTTCTGTACTCTTTGTAGTCCTGGGGTTGTCCACTGAACAGTGGAACGAAGGAGTCGCGCAGGTTGAGGTAGTCACCATCCTTGGAACCTTCTGCAGCCGATGTCGTTGGTGGCATTCTCAAACAAGTAGCCAAGACCGAAAGGGCTCTTCAACGAGGAAACAAAAGAGCTCGGCCAAGGGTTCGTGACAAAGGACTTATGCAGAACCTCGTTCTTCTTCGCGCAAAGGACTCGGAGCCCCCCGGAGGAGGCTCCGCTACCAATGCGAAAAAGGTAGCAGCGGCACCCGAAGTCCGCAAACACGAAAACAAGAGGGCGCACTGAAGCGCCGCGGCCGCGCCTTTTGCAAGGCAACTGCCCTCCCAGTCTTGAGAGGGAACGACGGTAAGTGAAGGTCGAAAACAGTTCGAACTGCCGAAACACAAGTGCACAGCGTGAACTTTACATCAATGCTTAACTCATGTTCTTTAAACCATGTTTTGAATTTGAGTCGTTCTTTCCATATTTTGCCCGTCAGCTTGCACGCCATTTGTTTTGTCCTCCTTGAGGCCCTCCAATTGAGGCTGGACAAGAATACTTTGCCCATTTTTGCGCCCATCGAACTCCTGCTGGCCGATGCACTTTGCGTCATGTGGCTGCTGGAAGGTTCTAGTTCTTCGTCCGAGGACCACAAAGAGTTGTTGGAGCTTTGCAAGCTGGCTCGTAGCCGCAGCGGCCAGGCTCGACAGCTGTTGGCTGACTGCATGCAAGAGATTTGGCCCAGAAAGACGGCCAGACCGACTCGCACCTCTGCGGCAGTCTTCTCCAGTCTTAAAGTGCCAAAAGCTGCGGCGGAGAAGAATGGAGCAGCACCTGCTTTGGCTTTGCCAGGATTGCCCAGTGCAGGTCCAGAGCACTGGAGGGAGCTCATTGTCCAGCTCTACAAGGATCATAATCCTGCCAAAGTCGGAGATATTGACGGCTTGATGATGAAGTACAAAGGCCGTGAAAGGACGCTCTATCTTTGCATTTGTGAGAAATACCGAGTCTCGCCACACTTGGACAGTTCCAAGGGCCATGGAACCTCCACAACAGCTGAAGAAAAGAAGGTGAGAAAGTACCGGGACTTAATCACAGAGATCTACAAGGAGCACAACCCATCAAAGCTCACCGATTTGGACACCCTTCTTCAGAAGTACAAGGGCAGGGAAGAGCTTGTGTACAAGGGGATTTGTGAGAAGTATCATGTCGAGCCCAAAGCTTCAAAGAAGGAAGAAGCAAAAACAAGCTTTGAGAAATACAAGCAGCTCATTGCAGAAATTTATGAAGAGCACAACAAAGAGAAGCTAGGAGAGCTCGACGAACTGCTTGGAAAGTACAAAGGCAAAGAGAAGACATTGTACCTGGCTGTGTGTCACAAGTACAACATTGAACCAAAACTTCCAGCAGCCAAGAAAAAGGACAAGAAGGATGGAGATGAAACTAAGACAGAGCGAAAAGAAACCAACGAGGAGAAGAAGGAAGAGCCCAGCTCCAACAACACTCAAATTAAAGCTGTCACAGAAGAAGTTGCGACAGAGCTGGTGGGATTGAGGCAGCGCTTGCCGAAATTGCTGAGAGCTCTTTTTGAGATCGTTGTTCTTCATTCTGCAGGTCTTGACCAGAAGGAGGGTAAAAGGCTCAATGCTTGGGAAGAGCGCTGCCCGCGGAAGCTTCCTTCCACTTTGAACCACCGCTTTGAATTGCAGGGCTTGAGCTCTTCACAGATCAAGAAATTGAGCCAGCGGCTGATTGGCCCGGAGGGAAACCGCTGGAAGAAGCTTGTCAGCCTTTGCGATGGTGCAGACATCAAGGGACCAAGCTCGTCAGAGGATGATTCTTTGTCTGTTGCCACAGATGGACCCGATGCACGCAGACTCTTCGACAAAGCGGTGGTCCATCTGACCGATGCGCTTGGTCGTGGCGTGCGTGAATGCATGGATGAAATGGATTCCGATGATGAAGGTGCCAGAGATCGGTGGTACTTGCCTTGGAGCTGCGAGGAGAATGACTACATGCTACAGTCTGACGAGGGCGAAAAACTGGCAAGGAAGGAAGTAGGAGTAGAATATCGAAGAGGCTGCTGGACCCCTCGCAGATACATTCCAATGCACTCCCATTCAGCACATCACAGTCTTTGTGGCCCAGACGTGCAGCAAAGATTGCCAGACTTTTGGCGTGAGCTTGCTGACAAGCTATGGCTGAGCATTCTAAGTCTGAATTGGGGTACAGATTTGCCCTTGGAGACAGTGGTGGTTGTCAAGACCACTGGCGGTCACGAGGCTGCAGTGCCCTGCCCTTCAATGCCACAAGGGTGTGGGGTAACTCCTCCCGGTGCAAGTGTGATTGTCACAGCTCCCAGTGCAGAGGAGTTGGACTTGGCCAACAGGAAGTTAAGTCCTTTGTTGCAGAAGGTCTTGGGTGGCATGCGTGCAAATGCCGCTTTTGCCATGCATGTGCTTTCAATGCCCCAGTTGCAGCCCAAGAGGACACGATTACCATGGTACCCGGGCATGGTCCTTGCTGCCAGGGAAGGGGTTGACCATCGCGATGTGGCATCCTCAGACTCTGACGCACCAGATGAAGAGGTCGATCCTGATGCGAACATTTTATCGGATGCAGAGGCTACAGATGTCTATAGGCCACTCAGGCTGACCCGAATGAAGGTACGAGAAGCCTTCCTTCAAGGGCTGCTTTGCCTGAACTGCGATTCGGCTGAGCACAGACATCAAGATTGCCCTTTCAGGAAGAAGGTGTGTTGGAATTGCCATGGCAACCATGCCGGCAATGACTGTCCACTCCGATGCCGATTTTGTAGAGAGAGGCATGAACATCCAATCTTAGAGTGTGTGAAGAAGGTTTGCAGACGAGTCAGTGATTGGAAGAAGTCCAAGTCCTTCCAGGAACAGAGGAGTGTGCTGGCCTCCCTTGAGCAGCTTATGATTAAGTTAGAGGGCTTCGCTGATATCGACTTGGCCAAGCACAACAAGGAGGTTCAGGACTTGGTGAAGCAATTGAATGAGCACACCACGCTTTTCCCCGTTGAGCTGCAAGACGTTGCTTTGTCAATCCTTGACATGAAACCGCCAACGAAGCAGCCCACCGAGCTTCCTGTGCCACCTCCTCCATCAACCCCAGCTCCGAAACCATATGTGGCACCCAAACTTCCAAAAGATGCACCTCCTCCGATGCCAGAAAACAAATACCCTTGGCAGGAGAAGATCTTTTTGGACAGCATTCTCTCGAAAGGCTTGTATGGTTCGAATGTGCTGAGCCGGGTGATTGGCCGAGGTGGAATGCACCATCGTCGTATGGAAAGTGAAAGTGGTGCACGGGTGTTCTTCCGGGGGCTTGGTGTTAGCGGGAGGGATATGGATCTCACAGATCCCACCGATTGCCGCCTTCACATTTCCGTGAAAGGTGAAGTGCCACAACAGGGCAAGTCAGTGAAGCGAATCATCAAAGAGATCGTGGCTGAGCTGGATACGGAACTTGCCGAAAAAGGAGAGGCAGGCCCTGCCTTGGACAATCCACGATTGCCTGACGCACATCCTTTTGGTTTCATGCTTCCGAAGGGTGCCGGGCCAGAAACTGGTGATCCTTTGAAGTTCCGCTTTCCAGAAGAGGACGGTCAGACGTTGAATGACATGCTGCTTTGGCTGAAGCAAGCGAAGCTACCCATCGAACTGGATAGTGACACTCAATGGCGGACCACCTTGCAGGCACAGAGTGATGTCCATGTTCAGGATTCAGGGGCAAGTTTAGCAGACATACAGCAATTGAGTCAGTGGATGCTAATGTTGAGCAGTAAAGCTGGGAGGCCATCGCTAGTAGGTTGGTTGGAGGCCTTCGCTCTTAGGGTGGAGGCCATCGCTATGAGGTAAGAGGTCATCGCTATTAGGTTGGAGGCCATCACTGGTAGGTCGGAGGCCATTGCTAGTAGGTTGGAGGCCATCGCTATTAGGTTGGAGGCCATCACTCTCAGGTTGGAGAATCCAACTTTTTACTGTCAGGTAACTCCAGCAGAGCCTCCACCTCCTGATGACGCTCCAGAACAGGCAGAAATTGTTGTCGGGAGCTTAAACGGAGAGTTTTGTCAAAGGTGAACGAACAGACTTAAGCTTTGGTAGCGTGAAGCATTTCAGTTCTCAGGCTCACAGCTTTATGAAGATGATGCGTGAGTGGAGCTATCCAAGTCCCTATTGGTTTGAAGAGCACGACCTCAGACCGACGGGCCTTTGGGCGACTTTGACTGCTTCTGATGGAGGAGCGATCACCCTTCAGCAGGGTCAAGGAGTTCGCCTGAGCAATGTCGCAGTGGAGCACTTTGCGGCCCTTTTGATCAAGACACAGCTTTCGATGGTGCCAAAAGGAGCTATCATGGAGGTGCTTGCCCGGCTGAGAGGTGTTGTGCGAAGACAGGTTGAGGATGAACAGCTCCTCTTGTACTTGTTGTATCCTTGGGCCTGGTTCTCGGAATCAGGTCGCAGCCTGAAGCTGCCGTACGGCAGGGAGAAGGTTCATGAGCTGCTGGCAGATCTGGGTCGCCTAGGAGGAAAGCCAACCGAGTCGCAAGTAGCACCTCCTTTCCGTGGTTTCTATGTCGAGTGGTTGCCTCTCAAGGCTGGAACCAGAGAAGGTGTGCCAGCTTTCCCAGCTTATGAGCCGGAAGCTGATGTTGAGCCACCCTCCGTGGCACCGCCTCTCGAAGCGAAGCTTCCCGTCTCCACGGCTCCGCGTGGCTTTTGCAAATACTGGCTACCTGAGGCAGCCTTCAACTCCCGACAAGACTTGCGGGAACTCATTACTGGTCCTGGTGGTTCACATTTTGCGCATTTGCTGCGAAAGTATCCATCGGTTGATCTTCGCATTGAAGGCCAATGCTCTCTGAATGTGCCGCCGGCACACCGTATGCACGTCTCTATGAGCAGTGAAGACTCTGAGGTCTTCGAAGGTGCATCAGCTGATGTCCTTGACTTGGTGCAAACCGTGTGCGACATGATCGGTGAAGAGCTGCAGATGGAAGAGGAGATTGAGCAAACTGGGTGAGAATAGGTTTTACAAACTATAGCATAAACTGGCTTTAGCAAGAGCAACGCGAGCTCCGTGGTTTTCTTTAGTCTGAATGTAGAGAGCTACTGTAGGCCACACTGTAGGCCGTAAGCTCCATTCTTGCGTTCTGAGAAAGAACCTCAAGGGAGGACAATGGACAGAGTTTTTGAGGAGCGTCCTTGCTCCTAGTAAGGCCAGGAGCCCCTAGTAGCTTCTTGTTCCTAGTAGCGATGCCCTTTGCTCCTAGTAGCGTCTCTATGGGTCCTCGAGGCATGGAACACATTCAAACTGATTTGACCTCCAGGACCAGCTGGACGCGCTGATTTCTCAGATCCGCACGGAGAAGTACTTCGAAGCTCATGGCATCCGCACTCCTTTGCCAGCTGCCCGCCAGGCGCCAGCAGAGGCTGCCGAGTTCGAGTTTGTGGATGATGAGATGGCAGCCTTGCTGCAAACTTGCATTTCGTGAAGTTTTCCCAAGATGTAATTGCGTTTGGGGCTTACAACATCCAAACAAGCAGCTCCTAATAGTGACGCATTTGAAGAGCTTTTCCGAGCAGGCTTCTTCCAGTCTAGTTTTAAGAAGTGCAAGGTCCTGTTTTTGTGGTCAGCTTAACTTGATCAAAAGACCGTCAGCAACACCAAATTTGGGGTTTGTTGGGAATATGTCTATGGGCAATTCCAATTTGGCTGGAGGCCATCGCTAGTAAGTTGGAGGCCATTCGTGTTTATGATGCCCGGACTGCGCCACTTGAGGAGATGGAAGATGACAATGATGATGCTGACACCGAGGACGAAGATGCAAGAACAGAAGCATCTGACTGCATGTCAGACGTCACGGAGGCGGATGGCGAAGTTCCAAAGACCGTATTCGATGATATCTAGAGCTATGTGGCTACGCTCGAGGAGTCAAGATGAACATCTTGGCGCAACATGGGAGCAGTCGTACGTCCGAAAATATGTGCGAGCTTGTTTCTTACAATCCTTCTTGCATTTGCAAAGCAGTCATTTTAGTAGCAAGAAGCTACTAGTTGCAGGGGCATTTACGACTAGTAGCAAGAAGCCTCCTCAATCTTTGTTGGGCATGCTTGTGAGGATTCCGGGCTCCGGCATTTGCTCAGTCTCCTCCGAAGCTGCGACATCCACGTGCTCACCTTGATTTTGGTAAGTTATTTAGCCAGTCACTTCGGCGGACGTCTCCACAGGTTCAGACTTTGAACCTTGATGCCAATCGCCTTACTGAAGCGCCGGTGCCCTAATGCCACACACACACAGCGTCTAAGTGAACTCTTGAAAAGCCGACTGTATTCATGTGTATTCCTTTGTTGGAGGCCATCGCTATTAGGTTGGAGGTCAGGTCATGGTTATTGATGTATATTGATAATAATGCAATACAATATTATGTATTACAATATGAATAATGCAACTATTCAATTATTCAATAATATTTCCAAGTTACTATATCTGTTCAATTTTAGTTTTTGGATGCCAAGGTCCTTGGTTGCTATCTCGGACCTGATCGCGGAGTCACGCTTCGGAGTTTCAGCTGCCGGCTTCCAAGTGGGTTGGCTACTAGGAACAAAGGGCATTACTAGTAGTAACAAAAAGCTACTAGGAACAAGTGCCTTACTAGTAGTAACAATGTTTGCTACTAGAAACAAGTGCCACGCTACTAGGAGCAAGGACGCTACTAGGGGCGCTCCTGGCCTTACTAGTAGGAACAAGGACGCTACTAGGAGCAAAGGGCATCGCTACGTTCGGGGCTCCTGGACTCCTGGCCAGTTAGAATCTTCTGTTTCCATGTCCAAGTGGTGCTTTCGCAAAGGTCCACATGGAGAACAATCGTGTACAGGACGCTTTGGTCAATTTGCCGTGTTGGTTTCTTCCTACTAGGAGCTCCTGGCATTACTGCTAGTAGCCAGAAGCTACTAATAACAAAGGGCATCGCTACCAGGAGGAAGAAGCTACTAGGGCTCGGATCTGCGGCATGGCGCCGAACCAGCTGAAATTTCTCAGGGCTCCTATGGACTAATGCTTTTGACCAGAGCCATCAAGAGCAATGCAGCGTGCTTAGAATGCATTCTAAGCTCAGGCTTTGAGCGTGCTTGCGCTTCGAACTGCGTTTCAGTGTTTCAGTGTTTGGATTGGTAAGAAGTAACAACACATTGCGAGGCGAAGTACCCCATGTTTGTAAAGGAGATGCAGCGCTACACGCCCTTCATGCTCTACTTGGTGCGCAAAGCATTTCATGATAGTTCCAGCTTGCAAGCATGAGGAAGCGCTGGACTGCTCAGGCTGGTAACATGATCGAACGGCCCATGCAAGTAACACAGCTGGTGAAAGAAGCCCTGGACAACAAGTTTCCGTCACTCTCCGAGGCGCAGAAGTTGAGCTTTGCTGCAGTTGCTTGAGTTTCCCATGTTTAACGCAAGATCATGCAACTGCAGCTCTGACAACTCCCGAATTACACTTGTCAAGAGTCCATGTTGCGCATGCGGGGTGCCGGATAAAATCCCCGTCGCCTCCAGTGTCCCAGAGCAATTGAAGAACTAGGAACTCCACCCTAATAGCGATGGCCTCCACCCTAATGGCGATGGCCCTAGTAGCGTCTTTGCTCCTAGTAGCGATGCCAGGAGCCCCTAGTAGTTTCTTGTTACTAATAGCGATGGCCTCCACCAAACCAACCCAGGACCAGCGAATGAGTCCATAACCAATTTTTGTCACCAGCCAGTTAAGCAACCGCTCAAGGTGACACTGAGCACGGGGAAGAAGATGGAGACACAAGAGAGAGAGAGAGAGTGACTGACTGACTGACTGACTGACTGAGTGAGTGAGTGAGTGAGAGTGGGCAATAGAGAGCATAAGCGCAAGAAAATGCAGATGCAGCTAATGCTTTGTCGGTGGGAGGGTGTGGGCAAGCTGCTTTGTTAGTGCGTTGCCACTTTGTTGCATCAGTATTAGGGATAAAAAGAAAGAAGGAATGAAAGAAAGAAAGGTCGACCAGCCGAGCCACTGCATGAAATAGCCAAACGACCAACCAAGGGAGCCAGAACCCATTTGGCATCAAGACAACTCAAGCTTTGCTTTCTTCAAATCTCGTTTCTGCCAAATCTAGGTCACACGGTTTCGTTTGTTGCCCTAGCTATGCTTCATGGGTCTTCATGGCCACCCGACAAAACCAACAAAGTTACCATTACCCTAATAATTAGCACTCATGCAATGTGATGTCGTCCTAGTTCCATGCCTTGCATCTCAGGAGCGGCAATTCTGGGAGCATAAATTGCAGTGCCCCCCACTGCAGCTGCACCTGCCCTAGTTGTTTTCTAGATCAAGGATGGTGTTGAGTGACGCTTATGTTATGTGTGCCAAGGCCCTGTTTTGATAAGCAGGAAACATCGCTTTTCCAGTGAGGGTGCGCTGGTGAGAGAGCTGGGGAAAAGACAGAACGTGAGCACCATGTGTTGCACGGCAGAACCTCGTTGTCCAGCACGGCAGAATTAGACACGGACACTCCAATATGATCTCCGAAGCTTTGCAGTCGCCGAGCCACTCATGTTGTAGTAGGATTAAGCAAGTTCTTCAACTTGTTCCGACTTCTTTCTCATGATAGCTTCCATTGGGAGGAATGGGCAACCAGTGGTTTCAACATATCTATATAACTGTTTGTCTCCTACAGGTTGGAGACCATCGCTAGTAGGGTGGAGGCCATTGCTACTAGGGTGGAGACCATGGCTCTTAGAGTAGCATCCTTGCTCCTAGTACTAAGGGCAGGAGCCCCTAAGGTTTTTTTTTTCCCACTGACCTGTCCGCCATGACAGTGACCGATTCGGAAATCTGGTCCATCGGCACCACGGAGCTGGAGAGAGAGATAGATCCTTCGACATCACCGTTGCTTCGGGCTTCCTTCATTTATGCAGGTGTGGCGACATTACTCAGCTGGCAAGTTCTGTTGTAACCTGTACTTTGCTCAGGATACTTTGCTCTGTATGGCTTTATTTGTCCCCCATTTGAGTCCTCTATGAGATCTTTCTTTGCGTTTTTGTTCGGGTGCTGCAACGAAGCAAGGACGTTTACACACAGTTTTGATGATGACGTGTTTCATTCACAGCGCTTCGCTGGAGCTGGATGGGCATTTTGGTGCTCCATCGTCTACTCTTTGGCTGTGAACATCACTCAGCTGATTTTGACAAGTCGAACAGTTGTTGCCTTCATTCCATTCGCACTTCGTTGGAATGTAGCCTCGGGGTCATTGTCAATGTCCTTGGTTGGCTTGCTGCTATGCCACATGTACACAACACCACAAAACATCAGCACAGGCGGGGCACTGCCGTCATTTGTGGTTTCAAAAGTGGAAAGAAGGGAATGGACAGGTCTAAAGGTCCAAAGGAAACTTAACTACGAGTAGTGTCCTTGCTCCTAGTAGCGATGCCCTTTGTTACTATTAGTTTTTGCTCCTAGTAGTAAGGCCAGGAGCCTAGTATGCGGGTTGATTGCTGTTGTTCCTGTCACATTCTCTGCGGACGTGCTTTGCCAGGTTTCGGGATGGCTGTGGCTTGCACCGGGCTGGGCGCTTAGCTGAAGGGGCTAGTAGGTTGGAGGCCATCGCTAAGTCATTGCCCATGCCTCAACTACCAGCTGCCAACTGAGATGTCAAGAGCCCACAATTTGAGGTTGATGGGTGCAGCTGCAGGACCGGTGGTTCCAAACTCGCAAACCACACCGCAACGTATTTTTGCTTTGCTTTCTTCTGATGCCTTCTGCTTCCTTCCTACTACAGCCAGTACTAAGGTACCAAGAAAACTCCTAAGCCACCTTGTAGGCCCCGGCCAGGAGCCCCTAGTAGCGTCCTCTTGCTCCTAGTAGCGAACATGGTTCCTGCAAGCTTGAGGAGTCTGGCAAGCTTGCGCCTTTGGTCTCGCAGGCTGCCTTTCACCCAAGTTTGCTCAAGACCTGATGTTTGGTCAGGGAATCGGCGGCGTGTGCCTCGACACAAGAAGTTGCTTCGTACCACAGATAGACTAGACAATAGCAATGGCCTCCAACCCTAATAGCTTTCCGTTGACTGATAAAATCATATAAGTTTTCCTAAACGCTGTGGTCACACTTGGGTTCTTACGATAAAAGTTAAGGCTGGGCTTGATCAAGGGGTGCTCACCGATGTGGGCAGCACATTGCTTCTCAAGATCGAAGTACATTTCGACTGCGCAGGCTCGCGCAAAATGGTTTTCCCGACCGGACCCTTTCCTCGACTTCGCCCTCGTTGTGGCGCAGCGCGCATTTTCAGACTTGGTGGTCACTTTCTGTGGCTGATTCCGGCTCTCACTCGGTGATTATTTGTTTTACCTATGAGGCCTATGAGTCTATTGAATTAATTTGGCGTAAGTTCAAGCCCTTGAGCATCTCATATGGTAGAATTTGCGGTGGTCTGAAGTCAGCTTTTCGTGGCAAGCAAAGGAGGTCGGAGCCGTTTTGCTTCGATATGCAGGTTTGGCTTTGCGCTTTGGTCTTGGTGTTGGGTGTTTGGTGTGCCATGGTTTCTTGGCAGGTGCTGTGAGTTCGTTTTCAAAAATTTAGAGGGGTATCATGCGAAAGTGTTTTGTGTCATTTTCAATTTGTCCTTGGAAGTGCTTCTGGTGCGAAGTGCAAAGACAGCGGGGTGTGACTCTTGATGTGCCTTGGGACCCTCAAAATGCAGATGTTGCAGCAGGCGCGGCGCGTTGCGAACCTCGCTGCGCAGATTTCGGGGTAGGCGCAGCACTTTGTGCTCTTATACGTGTCCTCCCACATATGTGTTCCCACATTTGTGCTCTCATGCGTGTGCTCCTGAGTGCGGAAATTTGTGTTTTCACCCTTCATTAGCTCTACTTAAAATCTTTGTGGGGTCTCTTGCCGGGAAAACTTTGTTTACGGGGTGTGGGGGAGTAAGGCCGTGAAGTAGCTACTGAGCTGACGGGTAAACCTAAGTGAGTAGTAGCTACTACCCCCGGAGTTTCCTGGTTCGAGGAGCCCCTTGCACGATTGATGTGGTTCCTAGTTTTTTGCGGAAACTGGCATTAGGCTTGATTGTTTTGAAGTTGTCAGGAGATTTGTCTTGGATTTCTTTGCTTTTGAGGAATGGTCTTTGTACCTGATTTTGTCTCAGGCTGAGTGGTGTCGTGGGAATGGTCTGTGGCACTACACGGGTTGGACTCCTTGTGAGCTTCATCTCGTCTGCAGTCTTCGAGCTGGGTGGCATCCCTGTGCTTGTTGCAATGCGAACTCACCCGTCGCACAGCTCATTTGGTTTTGAGATAGATACATTACATTCGCTGAAATTAGGGTCGTTGGGCCAAGGACTGTCCAGCTGCGGATGAATATTGCGAAACCACCCCCTGGAGAGCAATCTAACTTGCGAGTTGGCGCCTTAGATTTGGCAATGCACGGACCTGTGTTCCAGCATGTTTAAATGTGGTTTATCAGTCTACTTTTTAAGTCTATTACTGTAGCTCTTAGCTTGCGCTGTGCTTACTCAGTCCGGAATCGAATCATGCGCAAATCGTATGAACATGATGATGTGTTCGTGAAAAACACATGAAACTTCACTTCAACATAAGGTCTTGCCATCGCTACTAGGGTGGACCGTTGCTATTAGGTTGAAGGCCATTGCTATTAAGGTCTTGCCTTGTTCCTCTCTCTCTCAGGTCTCTGCAGTATCGTCCCCAATGCTTTCGAGAGCACGATCGTCTCGTGAGATCCTGGTGCAAAATGCATGGCCGCAGGTCAGACGGAGAGTCAGACGGTGAAGAGAGCCGAAGAGAGGGAGACAAGAGGAGCCACTCAATTAGAACTTGAGCAACTTCTGAAAGGAGGGCAATGTCTGACTTATGCAGACAACTTGGCCAAATGGAGGGGAAAGCATAGAGCAGCTCCGAACACCAAGATTTGTTTGGATTTGCCAGGCTTTGACGGTTGCTGCTGTCTTCACTATAACCTTCACCATTTTCCCAGGCACGATCTTGCTTGTTCAAACTGTGATTGGAGGCCATCCCTAGTAGCTTACGAGGCCATCGCTCTGCCACAGGTGTGACGTCTCGATTTGCTCCCGGAAGTCGTGTTTCCTTACTCATTGCCGTTTTTCAATTGATGGATGTGGTGGGCCGCTTTGCCCCGCAGTGGTCTGTGCCTGGGTAGACATACTGTAATTCAACATCCTGACACATGCACTGAGAATGTTTAGCAAATTGAGCAAGTACAGGCCATCAAGGTGCATGGACATCTTGGTATATCTTTTTTTTTCCAATATATATCTTATATAACAGTTTCTTCCTTTGATATATTAGGCGTTTGCATTCAGCAGTTTGCTGAGTGCTTCTTTGCCTCCAGAGTTGGCCTTAGACCATGGCTTCTTGAGATTGGCTGAGGCACTTCGCATCGATAATGGCTGGGTGGTGTCTTTGTTGGCTTTTGCACGATTGCTTTTTGTTCCGCTGTTCATTGCGATGCAACGACTGAGCCAAGAAAGTTGGGCCCAGAATGCTTTCATACAGCTTGCGGCCATGGCACTTTGACTAAAACGATGGATGAATTTCTTCCTCCATTTTATGGTTGGAGGCCGTGGCTAATCCCTATTAGGTTGGAGGCCATTGCTATTAGGTTGGCTAGAGCAACTCGACAACCTTGAGGCACTGATGGCCTTTTCCAATGGCTATGCAGCTGCCTCGGAACTGTGCAAGGTTTTCTCCAGAACTTTTTTTCCGCCTGTTGAAAGTCACAAGAGCACTACACATTTTGGCTTAACAGAAGGATAAAGAAGGAGAGGGTTCTATACATCTACCTTCTTGTTTCTCTCTTTGTCGTCTTATAAGCCAACATGTATTTCAGAGGTATCGACGCTGTCCATGATGCTTGGGCCGGAGCAGGAGGGGGTCTCCCACCAGGAGAAGGAGCCGGTGGGTACGATGATGCAAGAAGCCCAGGCAAAAAACTAGTAGCAAGAAGCTATTAGGGGCGCTTTTGGCATCGCTACTAGGAACCCCGGCATCGCTACTAGGAACAAGAGGCTACTATATAGTAACAGTTTTACCAAAAAGGCCCTTTAGCTTTGAGAAATTCTGTCCTCTGTGGCTTTCACCTAAGAGCGATCTGAGCGATGGCCTCCACCAAATAGCCATTTAGCTTTTACAAATTGACACGAGGATCCTTTTAGCTGCCTTAGCTTCACCAACTGAAGTTTCTTCACATTACAAGTTCTGGACTGAGTTTGCTTGGACAACCTTTCATCTTCGCAAGGTCATTGGCGCTGGTCTTTGGAATCTTTCTTGGATCGACCTGTGCCTTTTTCACCCAATTGCCCTGATTTCAATGCTGTCTCACGTGCCACAGTCCTTCTCAGCCGTGCGCAAGGCCAAAGCCGCGCAGTCTTTTGAGGCGTCGTGGCACGAAGAAGATTGAAAAGACTTTTCCAAGAACATACGCTAGTAGTAACAAGAAGCTAGTAGGAACAAGTGCCACGGTAGTAGTAACAAGTGCCTTACTAGTAGTAACAAGAAGCTAGTAGTAACATGCAGAGAGAGAGAGAGAGAGACCCTCCCGCACGCAGCATTTACCCTCCGAACTTACAGCATTTCACCCTCCGAATCTACATAAAAATGAAATACGGCCGGGCTTCCCATCGCTGGCAATGTGGGGTGGGGCTTGGAACAGTTTGGAGGTTGAATCAGTTCTAGAGTGGGTGCTTTGCTTGCTACTTTGGAGTTTCTCACGGTTCTCAATCTTTCTACGCAGGGATTGATGCTTCTCCATTGTTGTGCGCAAAGATGTAGAAGAAAAGACTAACAGGCCCCCTATGTTACAAGGGTTTCACACACACGCCCCCCGTAGGGGGGGGCAAAAACCGCAGCGGTCATAGAGTATCAAAGACTAAAAGGGAGATTCTTTCGGTATTGTTTGATTATTGCCTTATTTTTTTCTAATATTATATTATAAATTTGAAATGTTTTAGTGAAAGAATAGTTCGATAAAGGTCGGAAAATTTAGGTTAATTTCTTAATAAGATATATTTAAGATTTTTTTAAAAAACCGCACGATGCTAGGATCCTTATTTTTTTGCCCGCATAATCGATTTTATTTAAATTTTTTTTCTAGGGAATTTAAATCTATTAATGGGCAAAATTCCTCTTGGAAATGCTAAGGTGTAGGAATCCATCAAAGATACCTATTATCTCTATAATTTTTTTTTGGATTATACTAAATATTTTTTATTGATTTGAAGCAAGAACTTAACACCCTAAGATAACAATAACTAATAAACGACATTTATGTTGTTGAGATTCTGATGCTAATAATATTTTAATTCCTTTGATAACCGGGCAGAGATCTCCAACAGATTGAGCGATTGCATAGCAACGTATAACAGGCTTAAGATATTCTGGTCAAAACTTAACATCAGAAAATAGAAATCTTTAACGTTATTGTTGGATCTAAACTTTTCTATAATCTTGAATGCTTACAACTAACTACTGCTGATATATCTCGACTCAATGCTTTTCAAAATAAATCTCTTAGAAGGATTTTAGGAATCGCTCCAACGTGTATTGATCGGGAATAAACAAACGCTCGAATGTACGCTAGCATCCAGCAGGAGCATGAATATATTTTTGAACCTTTCGGGCAGACATGGAAAAAAAACAAAATGCCGTCTATTTGGCAATATTTTGAAGGCACCTAGGTCGGATCCGCTAGTCCAAATCGTTCTTGAATTTGACGGTGTCACATCTAAAATTCCGCTTTTTCGGAGACCAGGTAGGCCCAGAGCAGATTGGATTATTGAAATTTACAAGGATTCCTGTTCTTTTCTATTTGGACCCCACACTGTTTTTGATATATCGGACTACCAATTTCTTTATAATATCAAACAGGTCGCCATAAATAGAATTGGTCCTTTTGCTACACACGTATGATGCATGGGATTGTGCCAAGTCCCAAAGGCTTCCGAGCCTCTTATGGTATTGCTCTTGGTGCTCTCGATTATTGTGCTGTTTGATGCGTAATGTATTTGCATATTCGATTGGTTCCTATTTTCTTGTATTTTTGGTGGAATATTATATTTCACCCATTTCTTTCACAGCTCTGCAAGCTTTATAATTCCCTGTCTCTTGTGTTTTCCTCCTTTCGCGTGGCTCTTGGGAGACTATTTGTGCTCGCGGGAAAAAATATACTTATTTAATTAAGTATAATTTCGATATTTAAATATATTATATATATAAAATATATTAATCTATAATATTATGAAAATAAATAAAGTATATATATATATATAATTTACTAAAATTGTATTAATGATTAAATATTATGTATATATTTATGGTTTTAAAATATATATATAGTTGAATATAATATAATTGATTAATATTGGAAAATTATATTAGAAAAATATGAGTATATAAATATTTAATAGTTTAATTATAATTTTCTTGAATTTTAATAAAATAAATAAATAAATTTTAAAATATAAATATTTTAAATGAATAATTTTCGGAAATTATGATATATGTATTTAATGGTTGCTTAAATTATGTTTATGGTAGTTAAATATTTTATGGATTAAATATATTTTAATTTTATAGGATTATTATTGAGATATATGTATATTAATATATTGTATTCTTATTAGGTAATATAAATATATTGATGTTGTAGCTCGCCGAGATCGAATCGCTGCTCTTACGCGGTTGGCTTCTTGGATTCGCTTTGAAACGGTGATGATAAGTGACGATTGGAAAGGTGCTATTAGCTTGTTGGTCTTTAACTTCCACCGACCCGACCAAGAATTGCTTGTGCTGCTATAAAGCTGCGTAGCAGGACAGCAAATTGCCTCTATGGAAGAAGCCCAGGCATTGCTGCTTAAAAATTTTCGGGTTGGCATTGCTGCTTAAAAATTTTCGGGTTGGCAAAGGTAATCCGAGTGCGTGCGTTTAATGGCTGACGGAGATGGCTCGAGACCTTTTGGCGCCGATCCCGTTTCGAGAAGTGTTTGTCATTTTAGCCCTATTTCTCCCGCAGCTTACCTTTGTCGACGAGACCACTACAAGACAAGAGGTGTGGAGTAGTCCCACTGTTCGAAAGTTTGGCCTAGTTGTGGATGTTACACCTACAGCCATTTTTGTGGCACAAGCCAATACATATATGCCGTACGTTGCAAATAGGATCCACGACTGGGCATCTAACAGTACCGCGACTATCATCGGTCATCCATATGCTGCCCGAGCTGACGAAAAGGCATTGATAATGGCCACTCCAGGGTTCAGCTCCGAAATGACGCAAAGCAGCCACGACTGTGTGTTGGACCTAGCTGACGTCCTGGCCTATGCTGTTGTTGAAGATCGGTATGTGGACCTCCGCACGTGAGAAGTCCACAGGTGCATTGTGCTTCTTTATAAGGTCGGGAAAACATTCGAGCTGCAACACAATGCATGGGTGAACATAAACACAAGCATTTGTGTGAGGAGCTTGGCCATGCCACATGTTGATCAAAATTGTTGACATGGCGGAGGGAGCAGGTCACGCCTGTATTCTGTCTCTGATGATGTCATTCCTTGGAGGCCATGATCATAGCTAGGAGAATGGAACCCTTCCCAGCTTGCAGAAACAGAAGGAAATTTCGATCCAATGATATCTGATTGAGGAGGTCCTCTTGGCGCAGACGGCAAGCATCTGTAGCAGTTTTGAATCCCCGTCGTGCCTCGAAGAGGTGGTTGATGAGTTTGATCGGTTTTTCGATCTGCCTTTCCCACTGGCTTTGCCCTGCGATCATTCCACCTCCGTTCTTGGGCCTTTGAGGTGTGCCTGACAGGTATCCAAAAGGTCGGCAAAGGACATGTCGTCCAGTGATATTGTCTGCCATGGTCACGCACGGCCGGTGTCAGGATAAACGGTGTCAGGATAAAATCACGTGCCAGGGTGTGCTCGAGTTCAAGGATGGCAGTGCAGAACCAGCTAACTTGACCATTGGGGTTGGTATCCAAATCAATCGTGCTGGGATCCCACTAGGAATCTGTGCTGTCTAAGGACCGATTGGGAGCGGTTCCACAATCCAGCGGACAATGTAGGGTGCAATGCCCATGTTCAGATTCACCTGAGGCAGGTCAGGAAAATGGATGGTCCATCTTATATCAAAGGTGTCCCACAAGAGACGACGTTCTGGGCGAAATTGAATGCATGGAGCAATGGTTACCCTCACAAAGTGACCAATGCTGCTGTGGGATGCAAGTCAGTGCTGAGAAGGAGACCAAATGTCCAGGTCTTGTGGAGGCCCTGAGTCGGTTGAGGCGGCTCGAAAATCACTGCACTTGGGGGAGCATCAACAATCGGCGGACCATAGTGAGCATCACGAAACCAATGGAAGAGTAAAATTGGACACATACCCCTGTCAAAATGATTTTTGAATGCAAAGGCCATGGTGAAGTTGGCTTTACAGTGCATGCAGCTTAATCGACCTGGATACATGCCTGCACTTGGTCGAAATGGGAAGGATCTGGGCTTGTCAATCTGATGGACTGATCGAAGGTGACCAGCCACCGCCTTGCGTCCCAATCGTTCAAAGCCCAGGGGCATTCAAATTCCTGCAAGGGAACCGGAATTTCTGTGGTTTGGGCACGAAATCGGCGTGTCACAGTGTCATCACCTGTCGGTCGGCCCCGCTTGGCAGGGGGAGGATTGCCATTCAAACTCAGGAAGTATGCATGGCACGTGGAACACTTGTGGAGTGATTGGGTCGAATATCATTCTTGAATTGTAGATTCTATTGGCACGACTTCTGAGGCTTCGGTTCGGGCTCGTTTGTCTGCAGGCTCAGGAGTTGTCTCTATCGATAGATCCATTGGACCTGAGTTCGATGCGGACGTCCAGGGTCGTTTACGAGGTGGCAGAATCGGAAAATGCTCTGGATGCATAATATGACCCGAAATGGCGGCCAATTGGTACATGACTGCACAAGTGTGATTGTGCACATCAAAATTCTTGTATTGACACATAGGGCATTGTCCTTTTGCCGGAGAGCAAATTGGATAAGTCGGCAATAAAGTCGTACTGCTGGCGGGCTGGTCCGACCAATTCTGGATGCGAATCCGTATAGTGACGGATCATGGCTCGCGCATGTATTACCAAATTGCAAAAAGCACATCTGGTTGCCAACTTCGAACAAATGGCTCCATCTAATATGAGGCCCATGAAGGAACGATGGCGTATGTGCATTCTGAGCTCCTCCCTGGCGCCTGAGTGGCAACGAAGGCATGACATGCACGACGGTTAATGTGTTCACATAGGGCATATAGGGTTTGAAATTGGTGCTTGCAATATCTACATATTGAACGATCTTCAAAGGAATCACGGAGAGGTTAGAATACATCTTCAGGCAAACAAGGTATCTGATATTGTTGCCTAAGGTATTTCTTGAGCATCCCTGCCTGAGCAGACTATCGATGGCACTCGGGGAAGGCCAGGGAGGCCTGGGCACCGGAGGCGTAGGCGGGACATATTCATTGATGGCAGACAAAACATAGAGAGGATTGAATGTGCAGACATCAGGTTGTGGCACATC